AAACTATCACAGAAACCTAATCGTTGTGTCCTTGGGAACAGAGACGGAACCGTGTGACTGGAGGAAACACTCCCAGGGTCCTGCACTTCCACCACCGGGGGCTCCATCTGGGTCTTCTTTACCATTCACACCCGTGTGCACGCCAAACTCGCAGTTCTTCCCTGTCTATGACCTTTCGTGACCCTGGCTGACCACCAGGTGGCGTTGTCTCACAGAGAAAACACAATCATTTCTGAGATAAAAAGTTGTTTATTGAGAAATTGTTGCAGCGGGAAACTTTTCATCACATTATTATTACATTTGAAAGGAAAAAAAATAAAATCACATTTTAAAAATCCTGGGAATTAACAGTACATATCTGTAAAAATATAATGTGGTTCAGCATGTGGCTCAACTGACGATTGAACAGTACCTGAGAAAAGCCTTCACCTTTTATAATTATCGACTTGACGTTTGATGACCACAATTTTTTTTTTATTTATATTTTCTGGATCAGTGATTTCAGTGAAAACAGCAGGACGGTGACTTGATGCTCAGTCTGGGTGAGACCCAGTTTGTGGACTGGGTTGCACAAGTACCAGTCTGTGGGAGATGTGAATTAAATTCTTAAAAAAAAAAAAATTTATGTTTTTTTTTTTTAAATACCATCTATGGCTAACGCCAATTTCTTTTTACACCATCGTGGTGCGGTGGTTGGGGGACCAAGGATGGACGTCTTCTCTCAGAGGTCGCTCCTCCACTGAGGGTCTATGTGCTGCTGAACAGCGCTCTCTGCTGTCTCTGCAGAGGCACAGACACAAATTTTTTCACGAAATCATTCACACAAATCCGACGGTAACGATGCTAAAACGTCGGTAGCGGCGGCGACGGATAACATACCTGTGACTCTCATGTCTACGCAGAGGCAAGCTAGCCTCTCCACCAGGCCCTCCACGTCCTCCGTGACGATGCTGTCGGGCCGGAAGCCGCCGTAGCCTCCGCTGTCGCTGCAGTACTTGATGAAGCTGGAAAAAACGAGAGACAGTGACTCAGTGTCGAGGAGGAGTACTGCAGTTTTTATTACTCCATGGAATTTTTTTTTTTTTCAAAATGTGTCAACCAATCATGACATTTTTTTATATTCATATTTTTTGTAGATATCCAAATCTGTGTGATTTTTGTGCTTTGAAAATTTGAAATTTTGAAAATTCTAAATCTTGAACTTTTTTGATTCTTGAATAAGAATTTAGTTTAAAAAACAGTTTAAAAAAAAGTAAATTTATCTTCTATTTTACTACAGTAAATAATGACCCTTGGTCTCTCTGTCAAATGTGATCGTTTTGTCTCATCAAGGAAACTGAACCCAACACAAGCAAAATAATAGAGGAGATGTGGCCCTCCTGTGGTGAGGTGGGGTAATGCACCTACAGATATTGATTTATTTATTACAAAATATTTTTTACGTCTGGGTGGTGAACACCATAAAAAGAAATTCTGATTGGTTTAAGTTCTGTGTGTGGGGGAGGGTAGGTGGGGGGGTTGAAGGGGGAGACACTCACTGAGCCCAGGTAGGGTCTGTGTTCAGCACAGTGGGGTTTCCCACCACAATCAGCAGGGCTTTGGCTCTGGTCAAGGCCACGTTGAATCTCTGAAAAATCAAAAAGAGTCGGATCTGGTACGCAGAAGTACACACAAGTACGCAGAGGTACCCACAGGTAAGCAAAGGTACACAGGTACGCAAAGGGACACACAGGTACGCAGAGGTACACAGAGGTACGCAGAAGTACACACGGGTAGGCAGAGGTACACACGGGTACGCAGAGGTACGCATAGGTACGCACAGGTACGCAAAAAAGTACGCAAAGGTACACACAGGTACGCAGAAGTACACACAGGTATGCAGAAGTACACACATGTACGCAGAAGTTCACATAGATACGCAAAGGTACACACAGGTACGCAAAGGTACACACAGGTACGCAAAGGTACACAGAGGTACGCAAAGGTACGCAGAAGTACACACAGGTACACAGAGATACGCAGAAGTACACACGGGTACACAGAAGTACACACAGGTATGCAAAGGTACACACAGGTACACAGAGGTACATACAGGTACACAGAGGTACGCAGAGGTACACAGAAGTACACACAGGTACGCAGAAGTACACACAGGTACAAAAAGGTACACACAGGTACGCAAAAGTACACACAGTTACACATAGGAACGTAAAAGTACACACAGATACACAGAAGTACACACAGGTATGCAAAAATACACAGCCCGTACCTTGTCGTTCTTGACGAAGCCCAGGTTGAAGTCCCTGTCGAAGTCAGCGTATTCTGGGCTGCTGCGGACGGCGGACACCAAGATGACCCTTCGCTCCTGACCCTGGAACTCCTCCACTGAGCCAACCTGACACACACACACGTCAGGGTTCCACATGGCGTTCTCCGTACTTTTTGCTACAGCTAGCGTAGTTAAATGACTGATGAGTCACCGCCACCTTGTGGCCAAAACCTGCATTGTAACCGAGTGTCTCGTACACAACATATCTCTGGTGTCTTCAGCTAATGAGCGTAATTTGAAACTTAAAAAAAAAAAACTTCACGAAGTGAGTCGTAAACATTTTACGAAAACCCCTTCACCTTCAGCGAGCTCATCGTCTTCCACTTGAGATCCTTCTCCAGTTTATTCAGGGCCTGACGGATCTTCTGCACCTGCGTAGCACGAAGCAGATGCATAATTAGCGCAGTCGTTGCGAACCTTAGAACCCGGCACGAGAACCTGTTCCCTACCTGTTTCCTGTAGGGGGCGATGATGCCGATGTCCTTGGGCGCGATGGTTGCGCGGCCCTTCTTGCTGTGCGTCTGCAGCAGCTTCTTCACGTAGTCCATCAGCACCTCCACCTCCGTCCTGTTGAAGAAGGAGGGGCTAGTGGCCTCGCGCTCCTCCAGGCCCGTCACCCCGTGGAAGATCAGCGGGAAATTCTTGAGCTGACGCAGGTGCGTAGGGTAAAAAAGATCAGCGTTACTTTTACTTTTTTTTTTTTTTTAAACGGTATTCCGGGTTTTATAACGTGTCAACCTTTGCCGCCGGGGGCAGGTACTCCCATCCGCAGTAGGAGTGGCTTAGAACCGGATCGGCGTGACACAGGAGCTCGCCATCATAAAAGAGCTCGTTGGGAACCTTCAGTATGGCAGGATGGGACCTGGAACGACCAATCAGACAATAAGGAAGCGGACAATCACTAAAAAGTTCACTTTGAAACGGCTAGCGTAATTAAGTCCCACCTGTAGTTCCGCAGCAGTTTGGTGACGAAGCAATTGTCAAATGCACCCTCGCGTTTCTGGTACAGAGGGAAGTTCGTCATCATTCGCTCCAACAGCGAGACCCCTGCGGACGAACGACCGAGGTCAGACCGAGGATTAGGATTAAGCAGAGAAAGTCTATCTAGATAGCGAACGAGGTAGCTAGCTCCACAGCTAACCGTGTCCGTGTCTGTCCAGCTAGCTAGATTCGGACTATGACTATTTTTTTTTCCACCTGCGAAAGTTTTAAGACCAAAGAATTATTTTCATTTTTCTTACGTACGTTGTTTACGTTTTTGTAAAGTTCGGCCACTGTCGGACGACTCACCCATGCCGTACTTCAGAGCGAAGGGGGATCGCAGAATCGGTCCTAGCTGCTTGGGGTCTCCGGCCAGAACGACCTGTCCAGTCTGCGCATCCAGCAGTCCTGCCGAGACACGACATTCACGTTAGGGGTACGATACGACACGTATCACGACACACGGACAACAATATGATATATTGCGATACTATAGGCTGACAATTTATCGAGTTTTTGCCACTGCTCCATCCTGCACTCGGTTTCAGACTGTTGCCACGCTAACACGAGGCAGACATATTTGTTTGATCAATCATTTGTTCACCGACTCACGCCCACGATCCGCGCCGATTACCTGCCAACGGCACTAAACACTCCACCTCGACGGCGTGGCCCGCCTCGTCTACAAAGACATGGGTGTAATGTCCCGCGGGAATTCCTCCTGTCACCAGCCTGGAAAGACGAGAAACAAAGTTGGCGGTGAAGAAGAGCTCACGCGAAAGGAACCAGGGATGTTAGCATGATATCGGCTAATCAATGTTATCGGCCTGTAGTTAGCATAATTATGTAATACCTGTAAGAAGTGTTATGGGGTTTTCCTCTAAAATAGTTTTGGGGGGGAGGAGGCTGCACATGAAAGTGACCCCCACTAGGTGGCAGCATTGCAGCTCATTTTATTTTTCTATTTTGATAATTAGGGGAATGTTAGCTCTTACAGTGGTTTGTACAGATAAATAAATAAATATTACCATGTACTCTATAGTATTTTAATTTGGGTGGTGAAAAAACTTCTGTAACCTAGGGGGGGCATGGCAGAAAATAACTTAAAAAACACTGCTTTGACCTTATTTAGCAGGTTAACCACTAGGGCCACCACTGCCCCACTATATCTGTTGATATCAGAATCGGAAAGTGTTTGGGCAATGTCGGCATATCGGATATCGGCAAAAAGTTAACATCGGATATGCCTAAATGAAAGCGATAAAAACAAAAGGTTAGTGATTTCTACCTTCCAGCGGTCAACAGGGTGGTGACCATCACCCTGTACTCCAGTAAATCGTCTTTGGGAGGGTATACGTAACAGTCGCCAACCAGGTTGGAGCAAGGCTAAAAAAAAATAAACAAAAAAAACCAAAACATGGATCCCATGCTGTAGGACTTCCCCAATCGGGCAACAGAACCGGGTGGGAACCAGGCCAAGTGACACCAACCTTGAGCTTCTCGGGGACCGTCTTTGGGTCCCGGCTAGAGGCGTACATGCGGTACACTTTGCGCTGATCGACATGGTCCAAGATCTTGTCGCAGAGCAGATCGGCAGCGCTGTTGGACGGCGCGCAGGCCAAGATCCGGCAGGAGGTCTGCGTCTTCTCGATCTGCTTGATGGCTTCGACGAGAGTCACCGTTTTACCTGAGCGGGTGGAGGAGGACGGAGAAAGAAAGGTCGACGTAAAACTCCGCAAATATGGTGACTTAGCATTTAGCATTAGCAATTCGTGTTGCCTATTGGTAAACTATAACCGGTTTACTGACTGCTAACTCCCAACTCTCCTAGGTAGTACCTGTACCAGGTGGGCCAAAGACCAGGTAGGGTGCAGGTTTGGATGAGCCCGCTACTATGTGCTGGACCGCTTGGTACTGTTCCGTGTTGTCCTGCAGTTTTCGATCGCATAATCTGGTAACAGAAGTAAAATTCTGGTATTAACCCCTTGAAGGGTCCCACCCCCCCACCTTGGGAACCACTGTCATAGAAGAAGAAAAACAAAAAAAAATGTCGACGTTCAGGACTGACGTGAGGTCGGGCAGCTCCACGCTGCTGGCGGGCACAGAGTCCTCCGCAGGAAACAGCACCCTCTTCAGTCCGTGCTTCACCGCCATCTCGGCCGCTCGATGCTGCAGACGCAGGATCAGCCGATTGAAGACGAACTCCACGCTGAACCTCATGCCGTCCACGAAGCCACTGAGCAACCTGCAGAGAAACGAAGGGATTGAGGTCAGATCCTGTCCCCTCTGGCAGATGGGAACAGAACGTGTCCATGCCGTGGGTCACGGGCCGTACTCTGAGCTGAAGCCCAGTTTGACGCTGTTCAGCTCCACGCTGTGGACGTAGCCGCGGTATTTGACGTCCGTTTCTCCTTCGCGACGAACCAGCAGTTGATCTCCTCTCAGCACAGACGGACGGTTCTCGGAAACACCGGCGACCTGGAGACCAGAGGCAGGGACCAGTGGACGTCACACCAGTGACCAATCATAACAGAGCTCTGTTCGTCACATAATTTTCTTTGTTAATTTATCATGATCAAAAAGCAGGGATGTCCGATATCAACCTTTTTCCGATATCCCGATATTGTCCAAAAACGTAATTTCCGATACCGATATCAACCAATACAGTGGTGACAAGTTGCTGGCACCAGCAATCACCTGATTAATAAAATGAGTTACAATGATGCCATCTAGTGGCATTCACTAAGATATGCAGCCGTTTTTTCCACCCAAAACTATCTCTAGGCCACACATAATTTGGCTAATCCCAAGCATCGTGTTATCGGGTTTAAACCAATAACAATTCTTACGTATTACAAAATACAAATGTACCGATATTGTCGGACATCCCTAAAAAAACATTTTTTTACATTCTTGTCGTATTTTATTTTTTTGAGATCGCGGCCCATAATAAGACGTCGGTGTTTTAAGGAGTGTAATTACGGGTTCTGACCTCCAGGACGAGAAGCTTCTTGTTGAATTTGTCTCTGAACATCGGGATGGGTTCCGTGGTCTCTCTGTTGGGGATGTTGTACCTACGGATGTCCACCTTCATCTGGAGCTCCTCCAGATACAGCATCAACTTGAACTTTTCGGCGTAGTTCTGCCAACACAGCGGACTCTCCAGGATGCCCCGCCTATGCAGAGTGAGGACGAAAAAAAAAGGACATAAAAAAAGCCAAGCGACTCAGAGCAAATTCGGTAAGTTAGCCCGAGGAACACCTGACCGCTGACGGATACAGAAAAATGTTGACCATGTTCAACAGGCGAGACGCTAACATCCCGTGTCCTAAATGTCCATATACACAATACATAGTATGTATGGACTATATAGTAATATGTGTGTACTATATTGCAATATATTGTTTCCCAAACTTTTTTTTCTGGGGACCCATATTTTAAGAGTCACAAAATTTCGCCACCCAAATCAGTAGATGTTATTCATAAACTCCTGGGAAACATGATGCAAGACGACCCCAAAAAAAAAAAATCGCGAGGGTCACGACCCAGTCTTTGAGAAACAATGCTATACTGCACCTAATGTCGCGACCAGACCCGGGCTTCCTCAGTGTCTCCACCAGCTGGTTGATGTATGATGGGACGTTGTAGTTGTGCAGTGGAACCTTCATTTCGAGCCTCACCACCGACATCCTGTTGGAGAGAGAGGTCACATGGGAAGGTCAGGTGACCCGGAGGGGGGGAGAGACAGGGCTGATCAGCGCTAGTCCATGTTAAAAGGTGAGTAATAAACAGGTGCTGCTGATGTTAGTGCCACCTGTTCATATCGTGAATATATATTTTGACAATGTATTTCAATGCTCAATAAATATTCATCAACAATACATTCCATTATTGACAATATATTTAAATAAAATATTTTTTTGGACATTTATTCTAATGTATTCATTAACAAATGAATATATTAACATGTGAATAGTACTGACAAAATTCTTCAATAATTAATATATTTACTAATAATATATCAGTTAATATATATATCATCAATATATATTTGACAATATACTTTATTGTCAAATATACTTTATATACTACAATATATTAAAAAAATATATATTTATGAAATATATATTTCAGTCAATATATGTATTGACAATATGTATATACATATATTTAAAGAAAAAATATATGTCAATAAACTGCGTTACCCCTCAGGGCGCTGCCCGTCCACAATGGTGCAGTCAATCTCGGGAGTCCGCGCGGGGAGGCAACGGGGCGTGAATGGGGCGGTGGGTGCCAGTTCCATTCCCAGGGAAGATATACACCTGGCAGCGATAAAGCGTACGATATGGAAGGCAGGAGTGGACGGCTCCAGGTCTGGTTTGAATTCAAAGGCCAAGGTTGTGGGATAGTAGCCAATCAGATCGCAGCGAAAGTGACCGGTGATGTCATAGCTGTGTCCTAAGAAACGACAGAAGAGAGTGATCAAAAAAAAATTAAAAGTTCGCTCAGAGGGAATCGCAGAGGGAACCTGCGCGTCACCTGGTTGGAGGGTCAGAGGGTTCGCCTTGGTGACCTTCAGCTCGTCTGATACTGTGAAGTACTTGAGCCACTGCAGTGGTGTGTAGTACGTGAAGTACACCACGTCCGGGCCGCTGTTCTTCACTTTCAGGACCACCGTGTACTGTGGGAAACAAACCGACACGCGTTGACGCGACGATCAACGCGCATCTGGTTCTGAGGCCGAAGCTGTAAAAAAACAAAAATATATATATACAATTCGGACACTCACCTCGTACGTGTTCTCCACACACAGATCCAGCTTGCCGTTGTTGAAGTCGGGATCGGCGGTAACGGTGACGCCGTGCTTGTTGGAGATGAAGTTGCCCCTGTGGAGCAGAGACAACAGGTGACGCAATGCGGACGAGGACGAACGGCCGAGAGCGCGGACTGAAGGAACTCGGGAGTGGATCGGAAAGACAGGAAAAAGAAAAAAAAGGAGTCTAGTAAATGCACGGTGAGACCAGCAGGGGTCACCACGTGGTGTTTGGGGGCCACCTGGTAGCCCCCCGTGGACTACCTTTTTTTGGACATTTATTCTAATGTTAATAGATTCATTAACAAAATACTTAAATGATTACTATATTTAATTATATTTTTTAGAAATGTATTTTAATGGGGATAGTACTGACAAAATTCTTCAATAATCAATATATTTAGTAATATCAGTAAATATATATATCCTGTCCCAGAACTGATTATTATTACGTTGTCCGGGGGAAGTCTGTACCAAACAAGCATATCATATTACTAACCGATCTCTGTTTTAAAAAAAAAAGGTTGGTGACCCCTGGTGTCGAGTCAGTGGAACTGCCTTAACCAGTGGACTTTAAGCATCAAGGACAAAGACGGGAGACACAGCAGCAGTGTTAACAAAAAACACCTGAAGATTAGCTTTAGCCCTGAACACGCTAACTCACGTTTCTCCACAACGAAATGTGTGTGTTCACTTTTTCTTTGGTTGAGAACTCGGAAAAAGTACAACTTCGGATGACCCGAAACCCGATAGCATAATTAAGCAATATCTGTAAGAATCTGAGTTTTTCTCCGATAATGAAAACCCGATATCGTATAATGCAGCGTTGCATTTTATTTGATTAATTTTGTATTTACTAATCAGGGGGTTGTGAAAGAAAAGGAAATTAAATGTTCGGACAATATCGGGTTATCGACGAAAAAGCTAATATCGGACATCCCTAATTACCACCAAGTATTTTAGTCGTTATCACCTTTCTTTTTTCAGCCGCTTCATCAGCAGACTGGCCAGTTTCCTCCGATCGCGTACACCCGTCTCCGGACTCCATACCGGCCCATTTCTGGTCACAGCGTTACGGGTGGATCGTGGATAATATTCTCTGGGTGAGTACCACTGGTCGATATGAAGACCTGTGACCTGTGAAGTAAAAATCATTTTGGTAAATGTTGAGTTATTTTCGTTGCACTGGTATTTTTATTTATCCTCCGCGGACAAAGAAACCTCACGATTCCCGCTGAGTCATCGATATGCTAGGATTACATTTTTTTCCGCTGGTCATTACACAGTTCAGATAAAATGGAAAAAAAAAAACGGAACTGTAATAAATCAACTACCAACGTAGTGTTGGATATGAACCCGAGTTGGTGTGGCTGCACAGCGCCACCTAGAAAATAGACATACACAAGACGGTGAACATTGGTGTTTCGTCCACAAAACTAAAACGCCGTCATTGGTGTAATAAAAAAAAAAGAAAAATCCAGAAAGTTTTACCAGAAACAACAGTTTCCTGACAAATGGCTCCACAGCGCCATCTGCGATATTTGGTCTGATAAACACTGTTACATCTGTTCTACGCGTTAGACTTAATTTTTCCCCCTTTTTTAACAACTAACGATTTAATATATTAATTAAATGTATATATTTTTATATATATGTGTGTGTGTTGTTGAGTCCGGGAAGAAAAAAATGAAACGATGATCAAACCTTGGCATAGAAGCGGATGTTGTTTTTTCTTATTCTTATTCTACCGCTGATTTTCAAGGCGTAGAGAACCGAACTGAAGTTCGGGTCTTTGGTTCTAGAATCCCTGAAACAGACAGAGATAAAAACAATAATAATAATAATTAGGACCTGGCGGATGAAGATGGCAGTTCAAGTCGACGACAGTGAGTAGAATGAAGATGTCGATGAAGATGGTGTCACCTGTTTCTGAACTCGAAGTTGTAAACGTCCCCCAGTTCATTTCTATCAGTGAGCGTTGATCGATTAGTCCCCCGTAAAAACTCAAAGAAGTCCAAGCCCACATGGAATCTCTCACTTAACTTCATGTTGACCGCCGCTGTGTCCAGAATGCGACTGTCTTCACCGGGTGCTGTGGCGTCAGTTGTCTCTCAATAAATAAATAAAAAACAAGATCAGGAAACGGAGAAAAAAATAGAATGATAATAAAAAAGATTGCTCAGGAAACCGTCGTCACAACTTTAAACGCCGGGTTGGTCTGCGCGGGCGGTGTCTGACAGTGTAGGCAGCGCGAAGCGTCCCAGTCAAATGCGGAAGTTAAAAACAAGCAAACTCCAGCAGAGGACATTTTTCCCCTGAAACGAAACTTAGTTTCCCGGTTCAGAGTTGGTGTAATAAACAGGTAAAAAAAGGACAACTCAGATTTGGTTGTTTTTTCTCGTAAGTCATTAAAAACACTGAGGTGTATATTGAACGTTAGTCCAAACTATTTTGATTCTGAACGTCGTGATTACACCGCGTTTTACAAAAAAGAAAAACCTGGAGTAGTTTGACTCGGCGCACGGAATTAATAATTAACTGTTAATGATTATTACTTTAATTAATTCAATAAATTTTTATTCATTTAATAAACTCTTTTGTAAAAGTTTAGCATTTTGTCTGAATAGATAAACCACTTGTGTCAGCCATTTTTTTTAAATATATCAACTAATGCAATGTGTGACGTAGTAACTACTCCTCTGGAAAACTGTACTGTTAGCTCCACCTGCTGGCCACAAAAAGGACGTTCAATGTCATAGTTAATTGAATAAATCTGTTGCTAGCGACTACACATTATCGTCGACTTTTTTAACCGGAAAAAACGTCGACGATAATGTTAGCACAGCAACAAAAAACATAATATTCTTACACAGCAGGTCACGTGATTTGAACCAAGTATACGGCGGCTACAACACATACTTGAATATATAGATATGGGTAAATACGCAGTAGTACTACCAGTACTTGCGTTTACCTCCGTGTCTATATATTTTTTCAGTGTAATACTACGTAAGATGTGATTTTATTGGCTGCTATCTACTAGCTTACTACTATCAAGGTGATACAGGAACTCGCCCTGACATCATGTGACACACATTAGGAGTGTGTCACATCACTACCGGTAAAAATAGCATGTTGTGTCACACACACACACACACACAGGAGTCAAGTCACAGTTCGGTAAACAAGCTAGCGGACTGGACCTGTGGGCTGTACGGACGACGGTTAACAGGTAAAACACATTATCTCACTGTACCGTAACTACCGAACTGTGATGGAGGAGCCGGAAGTACTGGACACTGCTTCCTCATTTTCAATATATTATTATTTTTATTTATTTTTCTAAATATGCTGGAATGTAGTCTGCCTGCTGAGGCTCAACATCGGAATGAGTGACCGATGAGTCACCGTGGAAATATCCGGTCACCGGAAAGTCTGACCGGCAGGGTGCAGAAAAGTCATAATTCAGTCATATTTTTTTTTTTAAATAATAATTTTAGTCATTTTTATTTTTGTTTCAGACAGAATAATTCGTTACAGTCCGGTTTTTTATCGGTAAATATTTCCCGTTTCGTTTCTTTAAAACGACATTTAAAGTGGATAGCTTCCAGCAATTAGCATTGTCACGTTAGCACCCAGGAGAGTCCGAATAAAAGTTATTAAAATTATAAAATTGTACAAATAACCTGTTTTTTGTTTTGCACAAACTTGGTGTAAATAGTTCATATTAGGCTGATTTTATTCGTTAAATTCGGCTACTTGACGTCGGAGCGGAACGTTAGCGACGGTCAAACTTGTCAGCGGTTAGCAATAGTACTGCATTCCGATGTTTATACGTAGACTAATCAAAGTTGAACCCTCTCAATGGCTATGTCTCCCCCTTTCGTTGGTATAGATAACAACACGTCTAGTGCCTCAGGCGTTAATAATAAGTAAGTAGCTGCTGTTCTTTTAGCGCCGAGCTAAATGTACCTCGCACATGTAGTGGTGGTCAAAATGGGTGGATCTACCCAGTCCGTGGGGCGGGGTTATTGTTGACCCCGCCCCACGATCAGGTATGGTGGTTGTTGCTGATTCAAGCGTGAAGAACATCTATAGAGAAAGTTTGACCGCTGGGAATCGAACCACTGATGTTCTTGCTGTAAGGCAAGAGCGATTTCCACTACTCCCCTTGTGGCCCATGCCTGTATTACGTATTATCATCCACCATCATATACGAATACCATTTAAAACGCACTGGTGTTTCTTTCTCCGCTCGACTCGACCACATGTTAGCATCGACTTCCTGTCGGCGGCAGAGATGGGCGTGGAGAGGAAGCTGGACGCCCCCGTCTATGACCTTTCTATGGTGCGAGGGCTCTGGGAAGGTCGAGTGAAGAAGTACAAACAGAGACAGAGGAGGGAGCAGGAGCGAATCGAGAAGAGCGCCCTCGCAAGGTCAGCAACAGACACTGCATGAAACCTGTCCATGTTCTTTTCAGATGTTTTTTTTTTTTTGCAAGTTGCGATTTAGGACTCAAACCATCAACCCTTTAAAGCCAAAACAGAAAACAGTCCAGTAGGTGGCGTCAGTACTGATCTTTAATAGGTTTCAAGTAAGAGTTAGAGAACGAAGGTGTGATAATGTTCCCTGGAGATGATGTGGATTTATTGAAGGATAGACAAGGAGAACAGAAGATGACAGAAGAAGACGTAGAAGAAGTAGAAGACGTAGAAGACATAAAAGAAGACGTAGAAGCAGACGTAGAAGAAGTAGAAGACGTAAAAGAAGACGTAGAAGAAGTAGAAGACGTAGAAGACGTAAAAGAAGACGTAGAAGAAGTAGAAGACGTAGAAGACGTAAAAGAAGACGTAGAAGCAGACGTAGAAGAAGTAGAAGACGTAGAAGTAGAAAACGTAGAAGAAGACGTAGAAGAAGTAGAAGAAGACTTAGAAGAATACGTAGAAGTAGAAGATGTAGAAGTAGAAGACGTAGAAGAAGGCGTAGAAGTAGAAGACGTGGAAGAAGATGTAGAGGAAGTAGAAGAAGACGTAGAAGTAGAAGTAGAAGATGTAGAAGAAGTAGAAAACGTAGTAGAAGACGTAGAAGTAGAAGACGTAGAAGAAGACGTAGAAGTAGAAGACGTAGAAGAAGGCATAGATGTAGAAGACGTAGAAGCAGACGTAGAAGAAGTAGAAGACGTAGAAGTAGAAAACGTAGAAGAAGACGTAGAAGAAGTGGAAGAAGACGTAGAAGAATACGTAGAAGTAGAAGACGTAGAAGTAGAATAGAAGACGTAGAAGTAGAAAACGTAGAAGAAGACCTAGAAGAAGTAGAAGAAGACGTAGAAGACGTAGACGTAGAAATAGAAGACGTAGAAGAAGGCATAGAAGTAGAAGACGTAGAAGAAGACGTAGAAGTAGACATAGAAGAAGAAGACATAGACGAAGAAGACGTAGAAGAAGTAGAAGAAGACGTAGAAGTAGAAGACGTAGAAGAAGACGTAGAAGTAGAAGAAGACGTAGAAGAAGATGTAGAAGTAGAAGAAGACTTAGAAGACGTAGAAGAAGAAGGCGTAGAAGTAGAAGAAGACGTAGAAGTAGAAGACGTAGAAGAAGGCGTAGAAGTAGAAGAAGACGTAGAAGAAGGCATATAAGTAGAAGACGTAGAAGAAGACGTAGAAGTAGAAGAAGAAGAAGAAGACATAGACGAAGAAGACGTAGAAAAAGTAGAAGATGTAGAAGATGTAGAAGAAGACGTAGACGTAGAAGAAGGCATAGAAGTAGAAGACGTAGAAGAAGTAGAAGAAGACGTAGAAGAAGAAGACGTAGAAGTAGAAGAAGAAGAAGAAGACATAGACGAAGAAGACGTAGAAAAAGACGTAGAAGAAGTAGAAGAAGACGTAGAAGACGTAGAAGAAGAAGGCGTAGAAGTAGAAGAAGACGTAGAAGAAGAAGACGTAGAAGTAGAAGAAGACGTAGAAGTAGAAGAAGACGTAGAAGAAGAAGACGTAGAAGTAGAAGAAGAAGAAGAAGACATAGACGAAGAAGACGTAGAAAAAGACGTAGAAGATGTAGAAGAAGTAGAAGAAGACGTAGAAGAAGGCATATAAGTAGAAGACGTAGAAGAAGACGTAGAAGTAGAAGACCTAGAAGTAGAAGAAGACGTAGGAGACGTAGAAGAAGAAGGCGTAGAAGTAGAAGAAGACGTGGAAGATGTAGAAGAAGAAAACGTAGATGGCCGATGTCGACGCCTGGTGTTGACGTAGAAAACTCCAAAGTCCAGCTGACTGTTGTTAATCATGACGCCCCAGTCGGTAACCTGAACGCTGGACTATTTATATCCATCATCGGCGCTGGGGCAGAACAGTGAGGGCAGGTCTGGACGTCCGGGAGTAGAAAAGGTCAGGAGTTTGGACGACGGTACCATGGTACTTCATAGTACTCTCTCCATCGTAGGATCGACCAGGAGTGGCAGTACCGCATCTACTGCAAAACCCTGAAGAGCACCGAACGCGAGTTCCTCCATCGGCACCTGCGGAGGTCGCAGTTATCGGACAAACAGTTCCACGACAGCGGACACAGCCCCGGAGGAGTGATCGCAGGTAAATGCACGGGAATACACAAGGTACACACAGAAATACACAGACCTGGACGTTTTTTTTTATCGCGTTTTATTTTTATCATAAATGTCGGATATCAATAATAATTTTTATCATTATTTAAATTTTTACAATATTAACATTTTACTATTGTTTTTGTCTTTTGTGCATTTAAAAAAAACAAATATAATTTTTAGCAATTTTTTTAATATTTTAATCTCAGGTTATAGCAGTTTTGTTTATGTGCGATATTTCAAGATAGTTTTTTAAAAAAAAATTCTCAGGTAAAATATTTTTACTTTTTAATTTTTATAAGTAATATTGTTTTTTATACGAATTTCATTTTTTTCCCCGATATTTTAATATTTTAATCTTAGGTCCAATATTTGATTTTTGAATTTTTTTGTGTGCAATTTTTACATTTTTTATTTTTATTAGCAATATTTTTGTTTTGTTTGTTTTTCTCACATGAATTTTTAAGATTTCCTCATGAACAATTTGCGATATTTTAATATTTTAATCAGGTTATAGCAAATTTTTTTCTTATGTGCGATATTTCAAGATTGTTTTTTAAAACAATTCTCAGATAAAATATTTTGTTACTGAAACGTTTTCATTTTTCATTTTTATCAGTAACATGTTGTTTATGCAAATTTAATTTTTTCCGATATTTTAATATTAGGTCCAATATATGATTATTGAAATTTTTTTCTGTGCAATGTTTTACATTTTTTATTTGCGATATTTTAATATTTTAATTTCAGGTAATAGTTTATGTGCGATATTTCAAGATTTATTTTATGCGCATTTTAAAAAGAAATTCTTAGGTTAAATTTTATTATATTATTTATTATATTTTATTACAGAAACGTGTGTAATATTTTAACTTTTTTTATTAGTAATATTGTTTTTTTTTCTTATAATTTCAGGTCAAATATTTTATTACTACATTTTAAATTTAAAAAAAAAAAATTATTTTATATGCAATATTTCCATTCGGGCAGAGACAGGGACAGGTCCAGACCAGGATCAGGACCACAGGGACCCCGAAGGACCCAATCCCCATGAAGAACCTGATCCTGGGAAACTGAGTCTGCGCATGGAGGGTCAGCAGTGGACGGTAAGTCAACTGCTACACGGTCAACGTCGAGGTGTCGGACGGTCGATGTTGACATCACGGATGTTTGACAGGACTTTCCCAGAGAGCTGCAGTGGATGACTTACCTGAAGGAGTGGCACGTGAGCCGGACGAGGATCCAGAAGCTTCCGGACTACCTGGCGCTCTTCACCCAGCTCACCGTGATGGACGTCCCGAAGAACGCCATCGCCGAGCTGCCGCCCGAAATCGGTGAGGCCGCCGTCGCTGAGGCGTGAGCGGTGTACGACCCTCTGTGACGTCCGCCCGTCTTGTGTCGCCCACCAGGTAAACTAACGGAGCTGCGGGAGTTGAACGTCAGCTACAACCAGTTGTCCAAGGTTCCTCCGGAGCTGGGAAACTGCGAGAAGTTGGAGAAACTCGAACTGGCGGGAAACCGCAGCCTGTCGGAGCTCCCCTTCGAGGTGAGCGCTGTTTCGGAACCTGCGAAAGGTAAAAGTCCACAGTCGGGTTAACGTTAGCGACGATGTCATGGCGCGCTCTCTCTCTCTGTGTTTGGCAGTTGCGCAACCTCCAACTGCTGACTCATCTGGACATCGCGGAGAACCGCTTCATGTCCATCCCCATCTGTGCCCTGAGGATGAGCAGCCTGCAGCTGTTGGACCTCAGCAACAACTGTCTGACCGACCTGCCACAGGACATGGACAGGTGACCTTTGACCTCTTCGCCGCTGAAGCATTAGCTGTTAGCCATTAACTATAGGGTAATCGCATGACCTGTCCTGCACAAAAGTTAGTTCATTTGATCGGGTTTTTTTTGTTGTTATTTTTAGGGAAGTCTGATAATATCGGCCGACCGATATCATTAGCCCGATGTTAGCATGATTACGTAATATCTGTAAGAAACATTACCGATTTTTCCTCCAATAATGAAAACCTGATAATGCAATGCCTGCAGTTCGCCAAATGACGTGTGACTTAGAAATAATTTTGGGGAAAAACAGCTGCAGTTGGGAGTGAAAGTCTCTAGATGGCAGCATTGCAGCTCATTTTATTAATCTATTTTAATAGACAAATAACAGATAAATAAATTAATATTTCCAGGTGCTCAATTGGGGGCGTGGGGGTCAAAAAACTTCTGTCCACTAGGGGGCGCATGGCAAAAAATAATTGAGAAACACTGCTTTAACCCATCACCTTCGTGAACAGGCGGCACTTGACTTCTTTAACCAACAGGACACCGCTATATCGCTATCAGAATTGTACATTAAGTGTTTGGACGATATCGGCAAAATGTTAATATCGGACATTCCTAATTATTTTCATGATTTCGTTTTTTTTTTCCCATTCCGTCTTCGAACTATCTAAATAAAGAATGGCGGTCTCAACCCCGTGGCCCGCTCCACTGGGTTCTTTGGAGCTAGCCTCAGTCTAACTTGCCTATTTTTTTTTTTTGGCCAAACAGGTTGGAGCAGCTCGTGACGCTGTTCGTCCATAAGAACCAACTGACCTACCTGCCCATGTGCCTCACCAACATCTCCACGCTGAAGATGATCATCGTCAGTGGCGACGAGCTCACCTGCACGCCCACCAAGCTGTGCAGTAACCCAGAAATCAAGTAACAAACCAGTGCTGTCGCCACGTTCTCACCTAGTGGAGAAAACGCAGATGACGCCCGTGCTTCACCATTTGAAAAGTTTTTTTTTTAAATCACTCCGTCATATTTAGTCAATCACACTTTGAGTAATAACTAATTAGGTTTAAGTAGCACAGACAAGTCAGAGGAGGCGCTATATAGTAACAGTACGTAGTGCACTAAGATAGAGAGAACTCCTGTCTGACTCACTTCCTGTTCCGCCGTTATTTTTTATTATTTTTTTATCATCTTCGCAGCTTTAGATTCTGACGCGTGGCCTACTTTTATCGCCCCCGCAGATTTGTCCGACTGTGTGATAACGCACTGAAAAAGAAGAAGAAGGAGGAGAAGAAGAAGAAAGAGAAGACCAGGAAATGGAGGTGGAGAACGCCAGAGGAGCAGCAGGAGGTGAAGGACGGCCGGGAGAAGGAGTTCATCGAGGCGTACGTCAACACCCTGAAGGACAGAGGTGAGACCGAAGAAAAAAAAGAAATTATATTAAAATAAATTTACAGTTATGTCTTATAAACTCCACTGAGTGTTGTTTAAAACAATTATTCATAAAAAAAAAAACTGACATTCTCCCGCTGCACAAAGGGTTAACTTTGGGAAGTGCTGTGGCAGGGCAAGATCAATGACCACTTCTGCCACCTTGTGGCGCCCCATTTTAATTCAAACTAAAAAACATATATATATACACATATACGTATACATATATGACTGTATATATAACATATATACACATATAACATATACACATACATATACAGTATATAACATATACGCATGTGTATATATAAACATATATACACATATATAACATATATACACATATATACATATATACTGTACATATATACACATATGTACTGTATATATATACATATATACACATACATATATACATATATACACATATGTATATATACAACATATATACATATATACAACTTATATACATATATACACATATATACACATATACAGTATGTATATATAACATATATACACATATATGTATATATATATATATATATATATATTGGATTTCCTCCACATGACAACTGAACTCGCTCACTATTTACATAGCAAAATATTGAAATAAATCTCACTTGAAAAATCTGAAATCATTCAGCGTATTTCCTGCCGTGCCCAGGCTAACCAGCAGGGGGCAGCACAGCCCCGTTTGGTAACAAGCGTTAGAATTAGAGTCGACTATAACATTTTAAAAAAATGTTAATTAGTGTCTGACCTGGTGAAATTACCTGAAATGACTCGATGTTTGTCCTTCCCAGACACCGTCCCTTACTCCACCACCACGGTTTCCATTTCCTGCCAGCTGTGAAGATGAAGATGATGAAGGTTACACCGGAAGTCTGAGATACGAGAGCGATAGGTTGTTTTTTGGTTTTTTTTTGATTGAAATGAATAATCAGAGAACATGTTTTTCAATAGTTAATTAAGTAAAAAACTTTTTTTTTGACTTTTTGGTTTAGATCGTGTGAGAGATTGATTCAAAACGCTGCATTAACTTCTAATTTTAAAATTTTCAATTAAAAACATTGAACTGCTGAATTATATTCGGAGCTGCAGGCGACTTAAAACGGGTTGAAATTAAAAATATCAAAAGCTTGGTATTTCATATAAATGCTTAAAGTTTGAATTTTTACAAATTTTTTTTTTTTTTGATTGTGAAACAAGAATATTTTTGTAGATTTCACAGTAAATGACTGCCGAGTTATTTTTTTTTCCATTCCAAAAATATTTTCCATTTGCATGAAAGAATTTTTTTGTTCAAGAAAAACAAATATTGTAAAGATTTCCATATTCTCCACTTACAAAATTTTACAGGATATATTTTTCTTTATTCTTCAAATTCTACGACAAACACATACACAGACTGAATGTTGTTTAAATACTGTTGTTTGAAATATTTCCAATATTTATGATTGTATGTGAGAGAGAAAAAAAATTGTGTATTTCATAAAAACTGAAATATTTAGTTTCTATTTTTCTAATCTGATTTTTGTCGGCAGTTGCCGTGTGTACGTTGGTTTTTAACGTTTTCTTATTTAAAAATAAACGTTTGTGAAAATGAAGCGTGTTCTGTATTGAAATATAACTGTTATTTTATATTTATATTTTATAAATTTTTATTTTCTAACATTTAGGACAAAAAAAATCAATGTCAGAATTGTTTTAAATCCCACAAAATTCTCTTTATTGTCGTTATTATAATAGATATTATCGGAAACTAAGGACAAAAGCAAATGCACAGATCGTGAACATCTTCATATAAAAAACAGATATGAACATGAAGAATTAGTATCAGAGGCACACGTTCAAAGAAATTAAAGTGCGGCGTTGGGCAGCAAATTGCTCGGCAACGTTTACAGGGGCGGGGCAAAAGTTTTAGGCGGGGCTAGCCTCTACATTTACTGTCTAGCTCCTTTTTTTGTTTCTTTTCTTCTCATTTTGGAACACATTTATGAGCTATGGTTCAAATGGGGTCAGATGGGGTGTTTGACTGCCTCCTGCTGGAGGTCCAATTAGGAACTGGTTCCACATTAGTTTTATTAAAAAAAAAAAAAAAAAAAAAAAGGAGTCAGTGAATGTAAATGGTGTAAATGGAAACAAACACGTGGTCCGCGGGTTCCGCGTCCTTCACTCAATACAACAATGGCTGCCGGAACATTCTACCGCTGATTGTGCAGTATCTGACATTTTAAATACTGCAGTAATTTCACAGAGTTATATTTCCTCTTGTTTGACCACAAAATACAGTTTCTAGAGTAAAGTAACACGAGTACACCGGCCGACCCTGGAGCCACAGGTTGTAAACCACGGCCCTAAACCTTTTGCCCAGATGAGGAGGTCGGAGGGGGGGGGTTACTACATCTGTTATGACACTTTAAGTTAAAACTTGGGGAGTGGGGTGGGGGAGGCAGGGGGTCCCCGCGGAGTGAATACAGATCTGATCAGTAACGGAGGAGTCGGTAACTCCTCAGTCGGTAACTCCGTCATAACAGTGACCTGTTGTTGACCCTGAACTTTGGTCCTGACCCCAGAGTCCTCGGACTGAACCCTGGACCGAATCGGTTCAGGAAGTGAGGAGGACTCTTCACAGACACTGGGAATCCCAAGAGAGAGAGAGGTGCATTATGGGTCGTCGGTAGAACACTGCTGAGAGTACGGTAGAAAAATACTCTGTCGGTCCGTCGGCCTTCGTTTGACATCATCGGGGAAAGAAGGTGAAAAAAAAAAAAAAAGATCTCCGTACCAAGTCATCGTGAAACCGCCAACGATCATCTCGTGTCGCAGATACTTAGACATGCAGTACATGTTTTACTTCAGTACAAGCCCGTAGGAAAATAAACCCTCCCCAAAAAAACATTGTTTCTTCAGCATTCTGCATAAAATCCCCTGATCAATAAAATGAACTGCAATGCTGCCATCTAGTGGCGTTCACTCACAAATACAGCTGTTTTTCTCCCCAAAACTATTTTTAAATCACACATCATTTGGCGAACACAGGCGTTGCGTTATCGGGTTTTCGTTATCGGAGGAAAAAATTGATAATGATTCTTACAGATACAAAGTAATTATGCTAATATTGGGCCAATAATATCGGTCGGCCGATATTATCGGACTTCCCTAAAAATAGCAAAAAAAAAAACCTGATCAAATGAACTGCCTTATTTTTTTCTGATATAAAAGGAAGAACGTAGGAAAAAAAAACATTTTTTTTTTAAAAATAATAATAATTTATAATAATAAAAATTTTCTTAAATCTAATTGCGAGTCAGTAACTTATTTTCATTTTCTTTATCCTGAGTTTAGTGGCTTCGTACACACAATTCTTTTTTTGGGGGGGGGGTGATGTAGTAGCCTAGCTTCCCTAGTTCTGACCTTTTGACCTGACAGAGTTGTGAGGTTGTCGACACATCACCGCAGGGAAATGGACCATCATGCACAGCAGCAGAATCTTCTAGAAGAAACGTCAGTGATCGGGTATCGAAATACGAGTGAGCGCTTCATGAAACAATTTTTTTTTTCGTCTTTACTGGAATGTGCGAAACCTAACAATAATTACGTAACGACGTTGAGCTCGGCCTGACCACGACGCGCTATTAAAAATAATTGTTAAAATAATTGAATGACGACAAAGAGACGGTGACGGAGGAGTGAGCTGGATCAAACCAGTCAGTCTGGAGCATGGTTCCCAAAGACTGGGTCGCGACCCTCAGGTGGGAATTTACGAATAATGTCTATTGACTTGGGTCGCGAAGGTTTGTGACTTTTAAAATATGGGTCGCCAGAAAAAAGTTTCGGAAACACTGGTCTGGACCATGTAGAGCCTTGAAGTGACCACTCCAAGGCTCTAAAAGTTTTCCCGACCACCTGGGGGTGCCATACAACCTCAAAAGTCTGGAATTTGACCTACAACCCTGCAGGCGTCAGACAACAGCACCCCCTACTGGTGTGCCACACACATTGTTCCAGATTTTTTTTTCCACTGAGGAATAAAACTGTCTCATTGGTAATGTCACTAACTAGTACTTTAACCACAGATGACCAGCGACCAGCAAGGACGGACTAGTCGAAATTTCACATAAGAGGATGATGATGTCACACACATTCCTGCAGCGTCACAACCCGGAATCAAACCCCACACCAGGAGTCCACTGCTCCACAGGTGTGACACACGTTTTATTTCCCATGAGCCCACGTCAGCTCTGACATCACTGTCCTCGGTGAAAAAACCAGTCTTACCCCGTTAACCCCCCGGCCCCATCTCCGTACTGTGAGGTTCGTTTAATGTCCTCACCTCTGCGGCATCGCAGGGTGTTCAGAAAAACAAACAAACAAAACGTTGACAAGCTAAAAGATTTGGCCTCTCGGTGTGTCGCGGGATCGTAAACGTTTCCCATGACGTACAGAAATAAAAAAAAAAAAATCTACGCACCTTGAACCCAGTGTGACCTGACCTGAACTGTCTGACCGTGAGGGGAAACTAATTTAGACTAGCCGTTCGTGAAAGTGGTGAGCCCGCAGAGAGAAGGTCAGGCGTCACTGCTGCGCCATGATTGGCCAGCCGTCAGTCACATGCTACTGTCCTGCAGCAGTGGTTCGATGTCTTCCATGTCGCTCGTGGGCGTGGCCAGAGGGCTGGAGCTCTGGACGTGGGCAGCGGCGTCGGCCGTGCTGTTGGACTTGCACGTCTTGTCGTCGGCCATTTTGTGGTTGTCGGGGATGAAGACGGCGACGAAGAGTGCGCACAAGACGGCGCAGGCTCCGAACAGGAAGGGGGGGCCGGGGATGAAGGACTTCTACGGGAGTACACGAAGAAAGTAATAATTAGTAATTAATAAATATATCGGAAAGAAGGTCGTTGTCCTGATAATTGCCTCTGCGCTCTTCGCGGTTCCCCCGGCCACAGGTTCGATGTCGCTCAACTCCACGTTGAACAGGAAGAAGATGAAACCGTAGAGCGCCGGACCCAGACCGTTACACAACCCTCGGATCCCCGTGATCATGCCCTGAGCCACACCTGGACACAGAGGAACAAGCTGAGGCACATGAACAAACACTGGTCCAGGTCCCTGGTCCAGGTCCCCGGTCCAGGTCCCCGTCCAGGTCAAGGTCCCCGGCCAGGTCCCCGGGCCAGGTCCAAGTCCCCGGGCTAGGTCCCCGTCCAGGTCCCCGGGCCAGGTCCCGGTCCCCGT